ACAAGAGGCGGGACCTCCGAGTTTAACGTCCATCTCCAAAAGGACAGAGCCGAATAAGAAATTCGTTAAAGTGTTTTTCCCAAGGACACAACGTCGGGCCGAGCTGACGCTCGAACCCCTGAAGCAGCAGTGATACACGAAACGAGGACATGCTGAAACGTTTTAAGCGTGAAAGAGTTGGGGTTGTTGGTTGGTTGGTTTGTGTTTTGTTTGTTTTTTGTTTTTTGGGGGGGTTGTTGCTGTTGATGTTTGTTTGGGTTTTTTTTACTATTATTTGTTACAGTCGCCATATTCTAACGAAGAAGAAGAAGAAGAAGAAGAAGAAGAAGAAGAAGAAGAAGAAGAAGAAGAGGAAGAGGAAGAGGAAGAGGAAGAGGAAGAGGAAGAAGAAGAAGAAAAAGAAGAGATGTTTAAAAAGACATGATTTCCTATGAGGCCCCACCACACCCTAGGCCTATACTGTAAAATGCTTCAGCAATACAATCAAGGTTTCTTGGATACGTATGGCGTGTTACCCCTATGAGAACGTGATCAGAATATATAAGTATAATTAATATTTTGTGTGAAGATTTGGGAGTTTCATTTTGCCGAAAGAATGGTACTTGCTTGTTAGTTAGTTTGCAGTTGTTGTTGTTGTTGTTGTTGTTGTTGTTATTGTTGTTGTTGTTTTTGTTGTTGTTGTTGTTGTTGTCGTCGTCGTCGTTGTTGTTGTTGTTGTTCTTGTTGTCTTTTTTCATTTAGTTTTGTTTTGTTTCTTGTTTTGAAATTTATGTTTTAACTAGGCGTTTGGATGTCCCTTCGACAAATACAAAATGTTTAAAATGTTTCTGGCAAATGATTTCAGTACAACCTGGTCGCCCTTTTCTTGGCATCAATTCACATAGTATCCACCAAAGTATTTACGAGTAAATAACTTCGGGCGATAGTGTTTACTCTCCAATTGACCAATAAACCCATCGATCCTTAGATGTTCTATGCGTGTGCATATTCGCCCGGCTCTCCAGTCAGTGCAAACATTTGTTATGCTTAGATCTATATCAACTCCTGTCCCATGACCTTATCAAACGATTTGGAATATGTGCGTCAGATTTTGTTTGCCTGTATGTCTTATCTCAGTACCCCAATACCAAGGTTGCTCACTTTGCAAAAAGTTAGTTGTGTTGAGTTCGCTTTTGTTCTGTTTGAAATTGTTCCACTTGTGAACTATAGAATCTATATACCAACTGACCCCGGAAAAAAAAATTCTTTACTCGCGGGAAAGCCTATAACTCTCCACCAAAGAGCACAATTCACACAAAAACTGACGGGAGACAGGATGAACCTTTCGGAAGGAGAAACGCGTAACAAAATCAACAGTACTTTGGAAGCATCATTGGCTGTTCCTAAGATACAGTTCACTGTTGAACAACGTATTTTTATGGTTGGAACATGTATCGAAACAAAGTCCCCTTTGCAGACACGGAATCTCTTCTGTAAACGGTTTAGATTTAACACTAAAGATTGTAAGAAAATACTAAGTAAAGTAACAATACTTAGGTGAATGGCTGACTTTAAGTCACATGGCTCTGTTGAAAATAAAAACGAGAGATCCAAAACTAGGGTCACCCACAGTGGAAGACCGTTGCAAACGCTCACTCCTGAGAATGTGGCAGTGGTGATGGAGTGTGTGGGGGAAGAATCTAAAACGTCAGTAGGTCGTCATAGTATTGAATTAACTATTGCAAGAGAATCTGTTCGACGCATGTTAAAGTACGATCTAAAGTTTAAACCGTACAAGATCCAGTTACATCAAAGGCTGAGAAAATGGAGAACGTCATAGACAGCTGATGTAAAGCGCCTCGGAGCTAGAGGTGGCCAAAATCCGGATAATCCATAAGGATAACTGGATAATTTTCAATGAAACATAATCCGAACTCAGACTCTTAACTCTCTTTCCTGACCCGTTTGCCGAAGTGGGTGCACCCATTTGTTGAAGTGATGCTTACCTGTTTGTTGAAGTGGTTCTAACCCATTAGCCGAAGCTGTTCATATCATATTATTTGCCGAAGACGTGCACTAAAATATTATCCGGATTTTGCTGAAGCGACTCATTGCCCAGCTCTACTCAGAGTGTGTATCGCCCAAAACAAACGCTACATGGAGCACGTGCTCTAACTCCCTTCAAACTTGGAATTTTTATTTGTAAATTTGACGTAATAAATCCGGATGGTGACCAAGTACGTCGGTGCAATCTTGTGTTTCTATCTCTATTTTAACCGTTTTACGGGTTTCTCCGTGGGTAATGGTGTTGTTGGGGTTTTTTTTGCGTCACCTGGGTATGTACTGAAATGTGGAGTTCTTTATAGCAAACCATAGAGCTATATATATATAGATATCAAACCTTGTAACTATATGTATTAAACCCGAGTGCCTCAGTCCTTCTGCTGGTTCGGTGGTTCGAGCATCAGCTCGGCTCGAATTTGTGTCCTTAGGAAAGGCACGTTACACGAATTTCCCACTTGTTTCGATCCTTTCAGAGACGGATGTTAAAATTGGAGGTCCAGCCTTTTAAATAACTTAACAGTGTTGGTAGGAGCGTTAAACCTATACCAGAACAGTTCACCATTTTTCAACCACTGGTGGGGAGCATCACCCAGGCTGGCAAGCACTGTTCAAACTCCATTAGATTTCAATGTGTTATACTTCTTTTGTGTAGTACTACTCTCGTGGTCGAGAGATTGCGGTGTTCGCCTCCGCATTCAATAGAACCAGGCTTCGAATCCGGACAGCGACGGAATATTTTTTTCTCTAAAATGTTTTCCTTTTACGTCCTTTCCTGCTCCCTACCAATGTTCTGTCGTCTGTTTTTTTCTCCACTATCTGCCC